AATTTTGTAAAATCCTTATAGTTTCCGAGAAAAAAATTATTGAAGTTATAGTACATTCAACCACTACATAGCTGGACAACTGTAGTCTCTAGCGTCATTCGCAATACGCGTGGAGAGCACGTGGCTTCAGCGACTCCGAATACTGAAATCGGATTTTGCAATCGTCGTTGCCATAGTATTTACCTGTTATATGTACTATTGTAAACACCTACAATAGTTTTTTAGTAGTTAGTGTCAAAAATGGGTAGTTAGTGTCAAAAATGGTTTACGTGTATAGCAACTCGGAGTTGATGGATATCGTTTTAATTTATGGTGAAGCATTTGTGTTATGGTGAAGCAAGACAACATTTGTGTTAGTTCGTAGAAACTGAGTAAGACGGACACAAATGTGTTAACACGTTGGTGGATAAAATTTTGAATTGTTGTTGTAACATCGGGTGTGTCAAATGATTTTATTATTTAAAAACACAAATTAATTTTATTAATTAATAAAAGCAAAAGCAGTTGAATTTGCCGATATAAAATAGGTGCGATAAAATTATATTTACATATTTCTTTCCTTGCGAGAGTTTTTGTCCGTTTTTATCACACCGCCATGCCGGTCGCATTGTGCCAGGTCATGTTTTACAGTGGACCAGTTTCCAGTGCCGTGAAGAAGTGTATTTTTAAATCATTTTCGAACTGCCCTTTTTGAATTTTTTCTTTACAAAACTGAATTTATAAGGGTCTCCTGTACATCCAGAATTTTTTTTGATAAGTTCTGAATCACCCTGTATATTACGTATATTACCTACTCCCAATTTCTCTTCTTTCACGAGATAATAGCCACTTAGGCACATATTTTTACTAAAATAATTGAAATTGCTCTCATTATCGTCCATACGCATCAGAATATTACACGCAATAAATACAAAAATTAGTTAATATAAAAAGTTGATTTTGCACTCCAGCATAACAAAATTATTTTACAAATAGTGGCATACGTTAGGGTCAGGAAGGATCCAAGCCTTCCTATTGTTTTCAGTTAAATCTAGAATGTGAAAAATATAATATGTACTTAATTTCACTTAAAATTTCAGTATACTAAGTAAGGTCCCCTCCATTTTTTGGGGTGTATATACGCCACTGTTACTTTGTTACTGTCCGATTTTAGGAAAATATTTAGAAAACTTATAACTGTTGCGTACGTATCATGTTTAGCAGAGGATATAGAGATAGAAATACGGTTTATTGTGTTTTATTATTTTTTTAAACAAGAGTGGGAACTTCTGGCAATTTAAAATAATAAATGGAGGAGAGATTTATAATAATAATTAGAGGAATAAATGGTACATTTTATTTAGGTAAAATATTATATACAGGTACAAAGGGAATTTTTTATAGCAATCAGATTCGAATAGAATGCTTTCGATTTACAAATATTTTGAAACATTATAACACGATTTGAGTGTTTCCAAGTTCTGTTTCAACCAACTTTCACTGATATTAGCTGCTATAAAAGTTGATATACCTACATATAATTTTAGGCACTTTACACAATCTTCTTTTCATTGATTTACTAACATTTATTGAAATGTAAGTAAAATCTTCGCTTATAAATCTAATTTATCGTTTTAATGTTTCTTAAGAGGAATTTTAAAATATCTGGTCTATAGCACAACACTGATTTTAAAATTATTGTCAATTTGTTAGTGCACTATAATTCGCCGCTTCGTTTCCTTATTCTTATTATCATTTTTATTTTGCAAGATTTCACCTCCTCCTAGTTTTCTGTTTTTTGTGTAAGGTATTATGCCCACCAAAACTCCTGATATAATTATCCAGAAAGCAGCTTGGTAAAAAGATTGGTCCCAAGACCCCGTCAAGTCGAAAAGTAAACCTAAAATAAAAAAAAACAATGAGTGGTCCATAACTTAAATATTTTTTGAGCAGTTTCTTCGCGTACACGTTCTATAAAATATTTGGAAATTAGGTTTAAATTTAATGAAAATTTTCTCTGATTCATTTTTCTTTTGTATTTTCTTAAATATATGTATTTTAGAGTCGGTTGTAACAGTCCAGTCGAATTAAATCCTGCAACATCCGTGCAACATTTTCATCGTCAGCTCCATATATTGTTATCATATACATATATGTAGTCATCGTTAGTGTAATTCATCATTTTATCCGAAATAATAACTCAAAAACAATAATAATAATAACTAAATTACTGAATACAAACAATCAGAATCACTCTAAAATAAGCTCTCTTAAATTTGATGTGTTAATGAAATTAAAAAATCACGTAGCAATATCAAAAAGCTTTAGATGTTCATCTACAAAAGCTACTCATTGAATACATTTCAACTTACCAGCCAAGGGTGGCCCTGTCAAGTTGCCAATACCATCGCAAAGCAGAACCAAGCCGTAAGCCATGGTGAAGTCTTCAAGTGAAACGAGTTCAGCCAGCAAGGAGGGCGTAAGAGAGAAACAGCTCGCGAAAAACAGTCCAAAAAAGGCACTACTCGTTGTTAGTAATATAAAACTGTCGGTGAAGAACATCATACTTCCCACAGATACTCCAGTCAGGATGAGACAGATGGCGTAGGTTTTCGCAACGTTTAGTTTGTCACCTATCCAGCCTAGTACGATCTAAAACACAGTATGATATTAAATTAGTACAAGAAGGTAGATCTACACAAAATTATTTATAGCAAACAAAGCAGTACATGGAAACCACCTACAGACCAGGCTCCTACTTAGTCCTTCAAGTCTAAGTCACGCATTTTTCTATTCAATATTTTTACCAGAATTTTGTTATTGCAGGTTTTTGGGGTCGCTGATTACGAATCTGAAGTCCGAATCCGAAAATTCCTGAATAAAAGATGGCGGATCCAATATGGCGGATGTAAACATTGGAAAAACATTCAAAATTTGAAGATTGGCTGAAACTTGTTATTTCCTGGTTTTCAAAGTCGCTAATCACGAATACAAGGATTTTTCGGATTCGTAATCAGCAACCCCAAAAACATGCGGTAACAAAATTCAGGAAAAATATTGAATCTGGAAGTTATGTTTCTTTGGAATGTTTTCTATTAACCCACAACAGGCTGTTACAAGGCGCTTCTCACTACAAGGATCTTAGAAACATTATGCTCTAAAAAATCAAGGCTAACATGATTAGTTTTCGAAATACTTATTTAAAAAAAAACGAAATTTTGGAAATTTTGTTTCATTTCAGCCTTGTTTGAGGTGATATTGAAAAAAGAAGAACACTTCCTCATGGAAACATTTTGTCCTCCATCGAATGGTATAATCAATGTTTATATGTAAAATTCCGTCTTTCCAGGACCATCATCTACTTCATTTTTTCAAATACGATCTTGGAAATTTTATTACATTTTTTGCAAGTCTTTATAAGCATTCAGTTTAAATAACTAGGTGGATTGCACGGGGTCTAACGACACTCTTAGTGTACGATAATTCAAAAAACATAGAAATCTAAAAAAAATAGATATATGGAATGAATACATTGAAGAAGAATTTTTCGAGACAAAACGTCTGAATCTGGTTCGGGCTATGGCCGTACAGTATTGGGGGTCATGAAGGCTTGCAAAAAATGTAATAAAATTTCCAAGGCCGTATTTAAAAAAAAATGAAGTTGATGATGGTTCTGGAATGACGAAACGTTACATAAAGTTGCCTTGAAAAAATGTTCTTCTTTACAATATCACCTCAAACCAGGCTGAAACGAAACAAAAACGGATTTCGAAAATTTCGGTTTTTTCAAATATTCAATTCAAATCACCTTGATTTTTAGAGGCATAATATCGGTCCCCTGATTACGCAACATTGCCCCCATTTGAACTAGTTCGTATCTCTTGCCGTTTCTAAGGTCTCTGTAGTGAGAAGCGAATTTGTAACAACCTGTATATTTGGTATTATAAAATACAGTGGTTTTGCACTAACATTCATTATTTGTTCCTAGGGGTGGAAATAACCCCCTCGTAGGGGTCGGTTTGAATTTAATTTGTATACAGCGTGTATATTAAAATGAGGAATATATGGATTTTTCTTTTTACTGTGTTACCACATTTCTCGGAATGTACAAATTACAAATATATTCAACTATACAGAGTGTTCCACTTTTCCTGGCCAGACACCAACTTTGTTTTTTTAAATGGAAACCCACATTTTTTATATTTTTTTCGGATTCTACATAAAAAAATAAAGGGTACTTTGTGTAGAATAGTTCTATTCAATTATTTACAGTTTTTGAGATATCTCGCTTGAAAGGTTTTTCTAGTCGATATTGGTTGCTTACATTTTCTGATACTGACAGGTTTATACTAAGCCCACAACATAATTACTAATTCTTCTTCAGAGTAATTCATTTCACAATTATTACTGTCGCTTTTCTATTAAACCTTATGTGAATCGAAAATTTTCCAGATTATCCTTTGACAGGAGCCTACTACGTTATTTTACATATAAGCTATTTGTAATCTTCGCATTTTTTCATAGAAATGAGATTTCATGAAAAACTAATGAATTTTGGTATAGGAGCAGGTATAGCAAAGTTGTAGAGAATTTAATTCTGCATCTCATGGTATGAAAATATACAGGGTGTTGCATTTAAAAAAGAGATTTTTCAATTTTTCAATTGGCAATTTTGACATGCTATTTTGGTCACCCTGTATAACGCAGGCCAGTTTTTGAAGCATGATTCGGAAGAGTCATCCTTACATCTGATAAAAAAATGGGCTTAGTAGCTATTAGTATAAATGTTAAAAATGCCTATTATCAATAAAATTTAATTCGAAAAGTTGTCTCAGAAAAAAATACCATGTTCATAGGAAATTTCTATTTTATTTTTAGATGAGAAATCCACCTTTAAGCGATGGCATATATATTTTTTAATTTTATATAAAATATGTGAAAGTAGTGAAAACGAAGTTAAAAAGGCTCTGGAAAATATATCCTCGATTACTTACCATTCCTAGGGTATTTGTAAATCCAATTATAGACAAAACTAACGACGCTTGGGATTCACTGTATCCAGACCTATTCATGTGTTCGGCGAGGTAAAAGTATGGAACTATAAACCATATGAACAAGATTATAGTCGACAGAGCTAGCAGGAAGAAGTGCAGCTCCAAGAATAGCGAGAAGTTCGTTAGATCTTTAAGGATGTCTATATATTCTTTGTACCATTTCTGAAAAATGATTTTTATTATTCCTTAAACATAAAGTTTCATAAATAAAACATACTGTATATTTTGGCATTATTAATCAACATCTTATCATTATCTTTGTTAACTAGTATGAACCAAAAACAAATTGAAAACGTCAGTAACAATAAAATTTATATATAGACTCATTTTTATTATTCGTATTAATTTTTTTATTGTGTACTCTAGGGTATTACGTAAAGGATACTATAAATACCTTAAGATACGAGTGGGATATGTAATTAATACAACTATTTTATCTCTATCGAATTAATAAAATTAAACTGTAATAGTTGTTTTATGGCAGATTAATAGATACGTTTCTTAATCATCATAATCCGATTGTAAATAGATCAATATTTCGTTAACTTCAATATTTTTTGTGAAATTATTATTTATAGACTAGGAACATTGAAAACTAAAAGGTATTTATTTCTTATATGATTTTTAGATATATTTTTAGCAAGAGCTTTAGATAATATTTTCTTTATTTATTGGCTATTTTGTTACCTGAAAGAAAAAATATTAAAAAAGTAATAAAACGCCCTTGCACCAAAAGGATTTTCGTCAATTTTAATTTTTCACCGACGCGACGTAATGTTTATTTAATTCACAAGGTATGTGATAAATTCAATTTTTTTTATTTTGAACGGCATTATCAAAAAGTCTATAAAGCATTAGTTGTTTGAAAAACTGTTCTAATGTTAAATTTGGTAGTTATTCTACATATTTTTTCTGATAATACAGAATTTTTATTATGAATGTAATTTGCCATTGTTGTCTGACAGAATTTGTTTTGCTTTCAATATTCTTAAAAACGTTAATAAAATTTCAAGGGCATTGTAAGTTTATTAGCACGTTTTTTATGAATTTCAATTCATTGTTGAAAATTTCATCTTTTGAAAAAGTCTATTTCCTTCCTTCCTTTATATCAATTTAAAAACACTAATTTCTAAAGAATTTCCATTTCTTAATTAATATATCTAGAAATTTTAATGTATTATTGTTTTCTATTTCTGAAGTAAATTTAATAGTTGGTCCTTTATCATTAATATTTTCCAGAAAAATAATTTAATTCCTCAGTAATAAAAGACCAAATTATAAAAATATTTGAACATACACATATACAATTATACATATTTGAATGAAATTACTTTTTATTTAAATTGTTAATAGTTTCGTTTAAAAAAAATCCATTCAAGTATTACTTTAAATTGAATAATGACTACATTGCCATCCCAAAAACATGTAGTTTTTATACATAAACATAATTTCATTTTAAGGTAGTTTTATTTTTATTGTTATTATTTTGTAATTTACATTTCATAATATTTAATGTTTTGTCTACTGGTACATTAGTGAATAAACTAACCATGTCAATACTTACCATTAAGACATTATTATTAATAAATTACTTAAAGAACATTTTCCGAATAGATGTTTACTATTTTTTATGTAGAATCAGTATGTTCATGTAAAGGTTTGATTATTTCCAAAAAATATATTGCCAATTTATTACAAAAGGAATTAATAGTCCAATTAACTAAGCCTTTAAATCGAAATTTTGTCAACTTGGCTGAATTTTTGATATGAGTTAGTTTAAGGTATATTATAACAATAAGTGAGAGTAATTTTTTGTTCAACCCCCGGCCAAGGGTGGAAAAAGATAAAACAAAGGGCTTTTTCAAGATAACTCAAAAAGGGTAAGAGCTAGAAAAAAAGTTTTTCATGAAAGTTGTAAAGCAGACAATTCTACATAAAAATGGTCCCTTAGCTTTTTCTCGTACTATTAAAATTAACAGAGTTAGGGAGGCTAGAAGTTAAGGGAAGATTTCAGAAATTTAATTTTGTTAAATCATTAAAATTAACGATTAAAAATTTGATTTTTTGTTATAACTTTCTTATTAAAAATTAAAAAATATATCTATTTCTCTGAAAAGAAAAGTTACATATTTTAGAGCAGATTGAAAAAAAAATTACAAAATTCAATCATTTTTCTGTTTGTTATGATTTTTTTTAAATTTCTGAAATCTTCCCTTAACTTCTAGCCTCCCTAACTCTGTTAATTGTAATAGTACAAGAAAAAGTTAAGAGGCCATTTTTATGTAGAATTGTCTGCTTTACTTTGATTCGGTCTTTATTTAATTTTGTATATGTAATTTCCTTCATTAATTAAATTAGATATTAGTGAATCATATGTTGTTTAGTCTAGAATAACTATAAAAATATATTATTGTGAACATTATATTGTCGGAAAGACATTAATTTTTCGCGAAAAAATGAAAGTTATGCCACAAATAAGTAACGTTAAGCAATGTTCTTATCGAAAAAATCGATAAATATCCTATTAGTTAATACATAACGTGCTAAATCATAATTTGATCTGTAAACTACATTTTTTTATATGTTATTAATAGTTTTTTGTTGAAATAAAATTTTATGACAATCATATGTGTCAATAAATACATATGTATATTAGTATTTTTAGACAAAAGATGTATTACCGACTAAAAACCTTGTCAGTAAACGTTCTAAGTACTTCTCAAAATAAATTTATTCATTAGATAACTAATTAGATGGGTTATTAGTACCACAAGTGGAACTGCCGGAAAATTCGCGCCCTTGAAATCATGCTTGTACAGTGATCTCAACTTTTTACAAACAATGTGATACCTAAAAGTGCGAATGATGCAATTCACGAATTTTTTTGAGAAGTGCCACATTTTTTTAACACGCAGAATCAAATATTTATTAAGCATTTTGCAAGTATTAGATAATATTTACAGATATTTGGTTAAATTTGTATAATTCATTATTCGTTAAATATCCATTTTTTAACAACAATACGCACGTCTTTGTATACTTTTCAGAAAATCAAGCTGTTGATTTTAAAAATGTGTTAATAAGTAATGATAATTTTCTTTGTTGTCTAGCATTTGTTCTAAAAGTTATCAATTTTGTCGACATTTTTATTAGTTCTTGTTTAATTGTTTATTTATTTTATGCTCTTAATGCCATTTTCTAATAAATCATAAAAGTTTTAGTGGAATAAAAGTTACCAGACAATCAATTCAATTGTAAACTTAAAACTTTTACCAAAAAGTTACTCATAGCCTCATTATCTGACCAAAAATAGACACAAGATGTGGCACTGCCTAAAATAATTTTACTTTTCTTTTAAATTCAACATTCTGTACCTTCCAAACTGTTAATAACAATTGGATACATATGTATAAGGCAACATTTTTGACGTTTTACCTTAATTTGAATTTTTTTAAATTCACAGTGCGGATATATTTTTGACTGACATGTAAAGGTTTTTAGATTTTAATTCCATTTTTTGTTTATGATATCAATAAATACATAAATGTCTCGTTAGATTTTTCAAATCTCTTAGTACATCGAACATAAAAAGAATGGCATATTACCTCTTCCTCCTCGTCATCGTCTGTCGTAACAGAATTCCTGTAAACATTCGGACAGCTCGAGGCTTTGATCTTGTACTTGTGTATGTTGAGCATAGCGCTCCTGCACACCATGGAATTTTTCCTAAACCTTATGTTCTTCAAGTAGCTGTGACTGTGGTGGTGGCTCTTCTTGGTCTTGGAGTTTCTCCGAATCAGGTGTAGGTCCTTGTTTTCGCTGCTGTGAACTTCATTTGATTCGCTTTTGCAGTCTGCTAATGTGGGGTAGTTGTCCACTATCACCTTGTACAGTTCTTTGTTCGTGCTTAGCTGTTTTAAAACTTCTACGGGCACCTAAAGTAACGTTTAGGTCAATGAAGTCAGTCAGAACTAGTCAGCAACTCAATATCTTTTACTAAATTAGCATATTCATAAATATTTTGTTTCAAGTATGTTCACAAATAAAAATCCATAATGGTCAAATTCAGATTCCCAGATCTTCATATCCGTTTATTGTCAAAAGTGTGAGATAACCAAATATGAATCAGTAGGGGATTAAATGGGAAGAGGAACATCATGATAGAAATAAATGTTTCCTTTCTCTTAATGGCATTTTCCTCGAGTATAGGTGGGTATACTCCTCTAGCCTCTTCGGAGTCCAGATTTTGCCATTATGGATTTTATTGGTACATGTGTGCATGTATTTATAGCAATTGTTTGTGAAGTGTATGAAGATACTGATCTCAGAAACAAGTTGAGTTATGAAAAACAAAATTAGAGGAAATAGTGCCAAGATTTCACTAGATAAGATATATAACTGTTAGGTACAGAGAATCTGTAACTGTGTGGGTCGACATTTAAAGAGAAATTAATAAAATTTCTCTTCTGGCAATATAAAAAACACTGTATCAAGCATATACGTTTGTGGTCAACCAAATATTTAATCCCCATGTGAAATTTCAACTAAATTGTTTCTGCAATTTTTTGGGAATTAGAAAAATCGATTTCTTTTCGAAATTTAGCTTCCATTATTACAGAAATGAAGCGTTTGCTGACACATACGAACATTCTTTGTTGATTTTTAGCGGAGAATCTGCTATTAAATTTTGGCCAAGTATTCTACATAATAAAGTTCTCATTATATTTATAAAAGAATTGGGTTAAATATTCTTAAGTAGAGATTTTTATCCACCCAACGAGAAATCTGTTTGTTTATTGTAATAAGCCACATTCTTGAAATTTGTTATATTTTTGTCGTGTTGAATAACTGATAGAAAATAGACGCCATAACTTCAAGTACTTATTGTATCGAAAAGTTATGAGAGATAGTATATTTATCTAAGTATATTCTTGAATTTTTATCATACACTAACTAGCATTACTCTTGACTAAATTCCTCTTACAATTAATCAGTTATATAGAATTACAGTGATTCTCCCTCTGAATTAATCTGGTATCTTAACTAATATTTGTTTACTATGCTATGAAATTTGTATCGTTATTTTTTTTCAAACGTACCTTTTCATGTCGTTTGAGGTACGTTGGGAGACTGACTTCCGACATTATTCGATTATTTCCACGCTCAGTACTGTTGGCATTTGGCAATAAATGTTGGGTCTCTTTGCTCTGCAGGCCTTTTCTTAAGATCTCCATGTTGGCCTCGTTCTTCTTTTGTTCCTTTTCTTTGTTCTGCCGCCTTCTGAAAAATGGATATGTGCATATTGTAAACATAGCCGAGGTCTATCGTCTAATGGTAGGATCACACAGAGCGCTATGTTCGCTAGCTAAACATGTGACAGTCAATTTGCACGCTGCGTTCGTTACTCAGGTATGCGTATAAAATATAAAATAACCACTATTGTATTAAATGCAATTGATTTCATAGAATGCATAAGATACGCAGCTATGTTCGCAGCAGTAAGTAGATGCGTCGAAGCAGCCTCTGTGTGATCCTAATATCTACCTAGTTAGCTACGTATTAAAAATTATATATCGCTTAGTAATATAGCCGAAAAGAAAATATACGTCGACTTTTTCGCCCATTGCGAACATAGCGTACTTATTATGCGTTCTGTGTCCACCATTTAAAACTTGGTGATTATTTTTAATCCGCATAGCGAACATAGCAAAACACAGCTAGCATAGAGCTCTGTGTTATCGTCATATTGAACATTTTTAATGCGAACGTGAACGTAGCTAGGATAGCGTTCTGTGTAGACCTAGCCTAGCGCTCTATGTAGCTCTAACATTAGACGATGGTGGCTACTTCTAAAACATCTACAGGGGAACTTAGCGCACATAGCTAATATGTCCTAGGATAAAACCACAATTCATCAAGGCAAGCGAATAGCTTGTAGGTACTTACTCCTCCTCTATTATCCAATCAGGATTCCTCATCAGCACCCCGCACACGCACATGTTGGCAAAAAGTCCGGCGAAAATAAGCAAAGTTCCCCTCCATCCGTACTCATAGAGCAACCACGTAGAAAGAGGGGCGAAGACGATGGTTCCAAACCCTGCCCCGCTGGCAGCTAGACCAAGGACGAACGCCCTTTTCTTTTCGAACCAGAAGGCGATCGAAACGACGGCTGTAACGTAAGAGAGACCACGACCCAGCCCGCCAATGACGCCGAACGTGACATACATGACACCTATTGATTTGACGTAGGAGCTGATGACGAAGCCGGTGACGCAGATGAGGGCTCCTAATACCGTCATGGATTTGCAGCCGTACCTGTCCACGAAGGCGCTGGCTATGGGGCCTAAAATTTATCAAGAAAATTCATTAAAATTCAAATTATGGACCTATTTGTATGTACAGAACAAACTCAGAAATGTAGGGAAACGGATAGAGCCAATAGGCAACTGGTATGGTATGATATTATTTCATTTTGGTGGAATTTTTCTAAATTCCATAGCATTCATTTTTCTCAATGGCATTTATTAAAAAGTTTTTCGATATATTTTCTCGTTCAAAAAATATAAGAGGATACGTATGAAGAAAAATACTGTCAAAATCAAGTCTGCTGCTGTTTTTGTCAGCGTTGTCGTAGAAAACAAGGAAGAATGTATTTACTACTGACATAAATCATTTGTCTCTACAAAGCCTTATAGTCCAGGAAATATAGAGTTGGACGCAACATTTTGTTTTGGCAAGCTGAATTTATCACTGTAGATGCTAAATATTATGTACAATAAAATATTAGTTTCCACAGTCATAAAAATGGGGGGAAGATTGTTTACAGGTTAATTGTATAATTTTTACGTAAATTCAAGTTTTTCGCTTATAACTTTTTTCCGTTCATTTCCACGAGAAAAACAGTAATGTACTTTTTTTTCGTCTTCAAAAGACCTATAAAACTATACCTCGAGCAAATATTGATTAGATCAAAAGTTATAAACAGAAGAAGTTTATTTATAACTTTTGAATTAAACATTTATAAACTGCGTTATTATTACCAGAACGTTTTGGCATCGCATCCTCTCATTCCTTATCACTGTCTAATAACTCACACGAAATCTGGAATCGATAAGTTGAATAGTTTACAAGTTATGGCCTTATAAACAAATTAATTGACTGATTTTTTTTTAAGGTAGATTTCATAATAGTACATTGAAATCTATCATTTTTTTTTAATTTTAAATTTACAACCTGGCAATTCCTTTTATTTTTTCGCCTTAGTTGCAAAATAAAATATACGACGCACGAGCGTGATGTAGTTATACATTATTACATATTCGGAAAGCGTATGAAAAGAGCTTTAAGTTAAAAAAAAAATCGTCAAGATTCGTTGAAAACCAAGGGAGTTACAGACTGTCAAATATATTATTTTCAAGCAAATTTCCCTTATTTAACGGCAGGACTATGAATATTACCGTCATTTTCTTTGGACTCGCTGTCGTTCGCTTCCCCCACCCTTCCGCCGCGCCACGGCTCACCGAAAATCAAGCGACCCACTGACTTTTGACAATATTTCTTATGCATTTAACATACATCCACAAATAAAATATTTTTACCTGGGAAAGTACTCGGGTTGCCGGTTATGACAGTATTTTTTTTACCGCTACTAACCTAATTTGTTTAACAATCGGCCGTCAACTTTGACAATCTGTAACTGCGTTGTTTTTCAACGAATCTTGACGATTTGTTTTTTTAACTTCAAGCTCTTTTCATAAGCTTTCCGAATATGTAATAATTATAACTATATCACGCTCGTGCGTCGTATATTTCATTTTGCAACTAAGGTTAAAAAATAAAAAAAATGTCCAGGTTGCAAATTTAAAATTAAAAAAAAAATGATAGATTTCAACGTATTATTATGAAATCTACCTTGAAAAAAATCAGTGCGATTGTGGAAGATCCTCGGGATCGTCCAGACTAATAATTAGTTAATTTGTTTATAAGGCCATAACTTGTAAACTATTCAACTTACCGTTTCCAGATTTCGTGTGAGTTATTAGACAGTGATAAGGAATGAGAGGATGCGATGCCAAAACGTTCTGGTAATAATAACGCAGTTTATAAATGTTTAATTCAAAAGTCAAATAAACTTCCTCTGTTTATAACTTTTGATCTAATCAATATTTTTTGACTCTCGAAGGCTAGTTTTGTAGGTCTTTTGAAGACGAAAAAAAAGTACTTTACTGTTTTCTCGTGGAAATGAACGGAAAAAAGTTATAAGCGGAAAACGTGAATTTACGTAAAAATTATACAATTAACCACCCTGTAAACGATCTTCCTCCCATTTTTATGACTGTTGAAACTAATATGTTATTGTATATAATATTTAGCATCTATAATGTACTGCAGATATAGAATTTTTCCGAGCTTGCTCCACATATATACTTTTCCATTAAGTATTAATTTTTTAACAAATACAGACAATTTGCATACAAATAATTTAAAAAAGGTGATAAATAGTTGTCAAGTGATTTATATCAATAATGAATTCACACATTGAAAGTATATTGTTTCCCACAGCAACCTGACTCATTCCTTTATTCCTTAATCTTATATTCTTATATTCTTTGGATAAGAGATATCGAAATATACTTTTAATAAGTTGTTGAGAAAAAAATTACTCACAAGATATAAGAAATATTTATGAAATCTGGAAAAAATAATTGGGTTGACTTACCAATACAGAATTTTAAGTTAAATACCGATAGCATCATACTATAAAAAATTGCGACTGTGGTTTTCTACAGAACCTTCATAAATGATTACAAGCCACGTAATCGTCTAGATTAGGCAACACTGCAAATGCTGATACGTCAACAAAAAATCCGTAAATCTTAGTGTCACCAATATTAACGATTCGTTTACAATGAACAATTACAAACTGTTGCATCTACGCTCGAGACAATGCGATCGCTGATTGGCCGAACAAAATCTCGTGAAAAATTACGTCAAACACCAACCGGTGAATGTTGTGTTTTAATTTAATCTAGATCTTATGGTTTTAATAATTTACTTATTTTATTTTACCGAAATTTAGTTGCCAACGTGAAGCAAATAAAATCACTGTTTCAAGCTGAATTATTGTAATCATTTATAAAGGTTCTGTATTTGCTTTTTCCTTTTTCTGTACACGACGGCCTACCATTAGTTCTGGGTGACCTTCTACATATTTCATTAACTGCACATCGTACTATTCTTGCGATTAAATACAATATTTTCTAGAGGGTATAAATCGGGGGATAATGAAGGCCACCCTAGCGAATATATAAGCTTTAAAATCGAATTTTATTTTATTCCCTTTGTTTTATTTCAAATGAATACATAATACAGAACCATAACTTTCTTCACAAGGGAGACAGAGAAAAAGTGTTTCGTTCATTATTTAAAGACCATCTTTGTGCACTTTCTAGTACCATATTAGTAGTCTCGACCATACTATGACGTCACCAGGGCGAAAAAACAAAATGGCCGATAAGAATAAAGTAATGTCAGCGATGGCCATGGAGTAATATTTTCATAATAAAATTTTGAATATTGATCAGTTTTTATAAGATATGTAATATCAGTAGACTAGTCGGTTTATTTTCAAATTGACGGGCAATTTTTTTATTAAACAGAAAAGTAAAGCTGACGTAAAATATTAAAATTATGAGAGTTTTCCATAAAATATGGAATATCAAAATAATCCGAAACTTTTAAATTCAAAATTTCTCTCTAAAAATCTATAGATTCGTTCCTTATAGCTGTTTTATATTGACAATTTATTCATGAATAAATTGACAAAGTTCTTCATGAATTAATTCACGAATTTATTGGTAAACAGTGTGGTTTTACACTGCTACAGACTTTGTCAAGTTTTTTGACGTATGAATCAGTTCTACCAATGAATCAAAGAAGCAAATAAATTTCAAAAATGTCACCTTTCCATTCATAATTGTAGTGATACAACAGCGGTACCGTTCTGACACATATTATATAAATATTAGTTTTTGTAAGTAACAAATCAGTAAAACAATGCAAAACTAGTACGACGCCACACAATTATTTACATATTCCAATAACATAACCTCATTACTGATCTGAGGCTGGAAATCTGTTGGGTTGGTACTTCTGAACTTACGAAGAAATTGACGAAAATTAGAACATGCTCTAATTCGTCAAGAACTTGATGAATAAATTCATGAAGTTATTTGACAGCAGATTTGGTGCATTACACTTGTCCAATTTCTTGATGAAGCGACTTCATAAATTAATTGATCAATAAATTGTCAATGTAAAACAGCTATTAGAAAACTGCGTATCTATGAAGAAATAGGTATTTGACTCTGTATACATTTGAAATTAAACTCACTGTATAATTAAATTTTTTAGATAATGCTTAAAGAATCTTCTTTGTCTTATAAACGATATAAATACCTTTTAGTCATTCATTTTAAGTCGTGAATATCTGTAAAGAATTACCTATTAATATTAATTTTTAATTTTGCAGATATATCGGTTATAAATTTCTCAAAGGATGATCATTAAGAATTAAGGGTATTTTAAGATTAAGTATGATTACATTGTCTAAATACAATTTCAATTTTTTTTTCGAAACCGGATAAATGCTGACTAAATTACGAGTAAGCAGAAATATATTCGGCAGGTCCTCCCGTATTTTGACACAGAAATTGTTGACGATAGAATTAGCGTTATCAGTAATAAGAAAAGATTATAACTATGAACAAATTTGAGTTTAACTAGACAGCATATGCTCATGGATGACACATAGCTTAAACTTGTTCTATGAATATAATATCGAAACTTAACAAATTTTTTTAACTTTTTATCAAATATTGCTCTTTTTATATAAAATGTTTAGAATGAATCCTACTACATTTTATATGATAAACTTTTAATAATTTAAAAAATAGGCCAAATTAAAATATGTATCAAGTGATATTATCATTTCAAAGCAATAATAATGCAGTACTAGTAGGCAGTTAGATAAACATATTATCGTACTCTTTAAGTAATAATTTTTTCCAATGTCAAAATAACCTTCAAAACAATATTTTAAATTCTTAGTTAACTATATATAATACGTTGCATCATTACAGCCTATTACTTATAAAGGGTGTTAATGATATACTCTGCTAAACATTGATGGTGGATTCAATGTTACAAATCAATAAACAGTTTTTGTAAATGTGTATCTGGAAAAACTTCGTTTTCGAGAAAAAACAGTTTTGAAATTAAAATATATCACATTTATTTAAAGCTTTTAAGGGGGGCATTTATATGGGCAATTTTTGGTTCAGCATTTTAGAAAATCTAAGCAAGTTACAAACAATATCGCTTCACTGTACTTCAGGGTATAAGACAACTGACAAAAATGTTTTTTCTTAAAAATGCAAAATTCAATTAAGTACACTTATTTCTAAAATTTCTAAGCTTCTAAATAACGATATTTCCGAATGTCTCCGCTACTGGTTGATAGATTTATGTACCAACTTAGCAAGTTTTGCCCATAACTAGTTGTCATTAGACCAAGTTTCATCAATTTACCTCAAGAATCTTAAGAAATATTTAAATAAATGTGATATATTTTTTTTTTAAATTCAACATTTTGTGTCTGCAACAGGCTGTTGCTGGAGACATGTTGGTCATAACTTTTTTATTGATTAGTGACGTAGAATCCATATTAAAGGTTGCTAAAATATTTCATTAATATGCTGCATAAAAATGTGCGCTATTCACTTGTCGGTGTTTAACAGAAGTTGTACAGTATGTTTCTACTTAAAGACTAAACACTATCGTAACTTTTTTATTTATATAACTCACTTTTTTGTCCATTCGCATTATAATTCAAAGACATGGCCAACTGTGATCATTTCTATGGTAAAAAATTATTATTAATATTATTTTAGAAAAATAAATCCAACGGATTCTTACACAGGATGACTTGAAATAAAGGTATATCAATTTTTGTAATATCGGTCAATAAATGAAAAAGTTGGGAGTTGCTAGTCTCTAAGAACCTTTAAGACTATACTGTATATACACATTGATACCAAAAATGTAGGTATGTTAAAAAATTACGCCATAGACAAGATTGATATTTACCTAAAATAAAAGCTAATATAAATTAATCAGCTGACATTTTGTCTATTATATTTATTACTAGATATTAATTACTGAAAAAAGATACCTGAAAGAAGAGGAATTGCCATGAACAGACTCCCAATCCAGGAAGTTGCAGACTTCGACGCCCTGAACTCTTTCAAGAACTCGATGTAGAGCAAACCAAAAGTAAAAATTATGCCTTCAGACACCGCGTTTATCACGAAAGCAGCCAACACCACGAGCCATCCCCATCCCCCGTCGGGAATGTCAGGCTTCGTCTCCTCCACGAACAGGCTGATTTGGGACGACAGGATCGACTCCTTCCCTTGGAACTTCCTGTCGACGTGAAGACTCGGCGTTGGCGCTCCATTGATGAGAGTAGCTTCCTCTAGTTCCGGCAGAACTTCCAAACTGGATATCACTTGCGGTGCCCTTCCTGGAGCAGCCGAATGCTTGTTGTTGACACTCATGTTTGTCGGAATGACCTCAGTTTCGATCTTTGGCGTGTTATTTCGCTGATAACATCGTGCGGATCGTACCAATAATCACGAAAGCCCGTTTTCGGAAACGTATTCTCTGCAAATTATTTACAAGACTAAGTATGTAGATGCGTAGGCTTCGACTAAGGTTCGCCGATAATAGCTGATTTATTTGTAATATCGGAATAATCTTTTTGATAACAGAATTAGTTTGTCATAAAAGTTTCAGATGGAACATAATTGCTATCTTTATGAATGCAATCGCGAAGTTGTGAACTGTAATAATTTAGGTACTAATACAGAAAAGAAAAACGTTCTACTCACATATGGTGGGGCAAACTAAGATTTGGAACAAATTTCATGTTTTATTAAGATAAAATAATAATTGTATTTGAAAGAGCAGAGGCTAAATGATAAGTTATAATTTTCAAGTGCATATAAATTAATAGCTTAGCCATTTAATCTAAAAAAAATAATTAAATGTGATTTTTTGAAGTACGTACTCCTTATAAATATGTATTAGATGTAATCAAGAATTAAGTAATTTTTATTTTAGATGGATTATTTTGTACACTTGTTTCTTAAGAGAATTGTTTTATATTTTCTCAAATCTTTATGCTGTAATAATACAGAGTGTAACGAAAATGAGCCAACAAACTTTGAAGGTATACAGGATGTACAAATGTAATGTAAAAATATAATAACAATAATACTAATGTAAATAAAAAATATATTCATACTTGTAATTTCTGTGTAGGTGAGAGAGTAACGAAGCATTATATTAATTTAATATATATTTCATAAATAGTTTGTATTTTTTGGACTTTTATAGATTATAATAGGTTAGTTTAGTTTAGTTTAGATAAAAATTGTTTTGTATGTATTTTCTGTAACATTAGATTTAGATTAGATAGAGGATTTAACTACCGGGTGTTTGGAAAAGTTGGTACAAAATTTAAGGGGGTGAAATTAGAGCCAAAAATAATAAAAAAAAAAGTTTGACCCTCCAAAGGGGTCTTATCATTTGGATATTTTTAAAAATAACTTTCTTTCTGTTTAAGATAATGGATTGAAAATTGAAGGTAATAATTATATCATAAGGGTCTTTAAATGCCCTAAGTTTTATCAAAATCGGTTATAAATAAGGATAGTTTTGCAACTACTCTCAAGAGAAATTTTTCGAATTTTTTTATTCCTTTGAATTATCAAGCAAATAATATTATTTTTTAATGAATTGGACTTTTTTGAAGAAAAAATGTCCCTACTTTTTTTTTCTAATTCTGCATAGTTTAGTCAGAAATAATTATTTTTCAAATAATGTATGGCTCAAAACAGTAACTTTTTTTAACATTTTCACATAGTAGATGTCTTTTATAGTGACAGTTTATTTGTAATGATACTAATGATTGTCACTTTCGCGTGATGTGATTTAAATTCTTGTTTCTTTATTTTCTTAGTTGGGATCTTTGTGCTCAACTTTGCATTTCATTCGATTTTTTTACAACTATGAACCATCATGCTTTTACTAACCGTGAATATGCCGATATGCATTACATTTATGGTTTCTGTAATGGAAATAGTCTGGCGCCTCAAAGGGAGTATCGGCATATTCACGGTTAGTAAAAGCATGGTTGTAAAAAAATCGAATGAAATGCGAAGTTGAGCACAAAGATCACAACTAAGAAAATAAAGAAACATAAGAATTTAAATCATAGCACGAGAAACTGACAATCATTATTACAATGAAACTGTCACTATGAAAGATGCCTACTATGTGAAAATGTTAAAAAAAGTTACTGTTCTGAGCCATACATTATTTAAAAAATAATTATTTCTGACTAAACCACGCAGAATTCCAAAAAAAAATAGATACATTTTTACTTGAAAAAAGTCCAATTAATTAAAAAATAATATTATTTGCTTGCTAATTCAAAGGAATAAAAAAAATTCAAAAAATTTCTGATAAGAGTAGTAAGAAAACTATCCTTATTTATAATTTTTGATTAAACTTATGGTAGTTAAAGACCCTTATGGTATGATTATTACCTACAATTTTCATTCCGCTATCTTAATAAGAAAGAAAGTTATTTTGAAAAATATCGAAATGATAAGGCCCCTTTGGAGGGCCATATCTGAGTAACGGTGCTCCGGAGGACCAATGTTTATAGGAACTTTTTTTACTATTTTTAGCTCTACTTTCACCCCCTTAAATTTTGTACCAACACCCTGTATAATCAAATTGTATTCATAGACTATTTTGGACAGTTTTAGATGTTTAATAAATGTGATTTAGCTTAATGTGTGTTTTTAAATATCATAAAAAATCTAAAATTCCGAAATTGAACATACTAGAGGAAAATGCCAATACGGAATAAAATAAGCAATAAAAAACTGTATCTGATTTTCTTATAGTCATGAGCGTAGAGATTCTAGTGAACAAACTGAATTGTCACATTAAATATCGCCTTAAAAAAAATTATATGGCTCACCCCCAATTATTTTTGTGTATATACCATTAAGTTTGTTGGTTTAGTTTTGTACCCTATAAATCAACTTTTTTTTTTGTAATTTCATTCTTCTAGAGCCATCTGGTGATGCATGTCTGGGGTTTCGACACATTTGGAAAAATTTGCTGTAGCTTTTGAATTTTTAATACACACTGAAATAATTGTCTACATTCACTCTTTGCAAACAATTTTACACTGGTCTTAGACTTTTTTTCAAAGTTTCGGCTCCGAGAAACCATAACTGGCATTTTCTTAATTAATTTTCTATTGATGTGCTAGAAAAGCAAGTGCTAGGAAAAATCAATGGTTTGCAGGAAGAACAATAAATATTATTATTTTATATTCTGATAAAACTGGCAACACCGCATAACATTTTAAATGCAAAAATTGTCTCATATTCATGAAATAATTTTAAATTTTATAAACAGACTGCAATCTAAAAAGTGTGCCTACAACATTAAAGATTCTGATGCGACCATTCATTATTATTTTGATAAAAATTCTTCAAGTCAATACGGGTAGCTAGTTTTATATTTTTAAGAAAAAGTTCGACTAGGTTAAACAAAATACTCGAAATTTTGATATTATAGTACTTAATTTACTATCAAAACTTTTTCACAAAATTGTAAAAAACAAGATACTCTTGAATTTAGATCAGAATAATGTTAATGTAAGTTACATATGACCTTTATCAGTATTATTGGCACATAGTTTGAAAATTAAAAAGTACCTTATTTGTTAAAAATAACAATAATAGTGGTTTAAATAGAGGTTGATTCACAAATGGTAACCGAAAATGAAAAATCGTATTCTTTGGTGAATTTTAAGGGGAGTCTGTCCTATAAAATTTGTATCTAGTATGCTTCGTTAAAAAGAGTGTTAAACCTCAAAAGATATTTTAAATTTTTTTTTTTTTTAATAATTTGTAAACTAGTAAGTAAAATAATTTGAAATTGGGCACATGTATTTAAGTAAACATTGTTCAAAATCTGAGGGCTTTTCCTAAAATTTACATGCTCCAGTGGCGGAGATACAGTACAGGGTATCGGTGGCATATTTTTCTAAATAAAATAGTACAGTTAGAATAAAGAATAAATAATGCTTTTCATAAGATTCAAGCAACAATAAACCTCGCGTAAATTACATTTCCGTTATTAAAAAGATGTCGCGCCTGTGTTTGTGCAAATGGAGGTATTTTTGAGCATTTACTCAAATAAAATCATTAAAATGATGACTAATGTTATTAATTTCTTTATTCGATTAAATAACCGAATGATTAGTGTTTGTCATGTCATTTAAGTAAAAGTGTTTTCAGTTGGTTTTTTAAGTTTTACTCGAAAATCAGGTTTTTCGAAAAACATAAGAGTAGAAATTTGTAGAAAATTGAAAGATGAATCCGAAAATATCATGGTTATTACCGTAAAGCAGTGGCGTTTATTTAGAAAAATATGCCACCTATACCCTGTACTATATCTCCGCCACTGGAGCATGTAAATTTTAGGAAAAGCCCTCAGATTTTGGACAATGTTTACATAAACATGTATGTGCCCAATTTCAAATTGTTTCACTTACTAGTTTTTAAATTATTTAAAAAAATTAAAAATATTTGTTTAAGTTTAACACCCTGTGTGTTTTTAACGAAGCGTCCTAGATAAAAACTTTATAGGAAAGACTGCCCTTAAAATCACCAAAGAATACGAGGATTCATTTTTGGTCACCATTTGTGAATCACCCTGTATAGAGCACAAGAAATAGAAAAAGTAACACAAAAAACTATAAATATAAATTATTACTATAACAGTTAACAGCTACCTAATAAATGAACATTTGAAAAAGTCCAATTAAAAACTACATATTCAGAATTTCTGATTTTACATAGATTTGCAGCTATCAAAACTTGACCACCATTCATTTCATTAGCAATATTTAATTTGCGATCTAATCTGTACACCAAATAAATATATATTTGGACATATTTCACTCTTGAACGTCAATGTTAATGTGACGATAAAATTTATCACTTAAGATGATTTTTGTTGTACATGTAGTAAATATACATATAGATAATAGAATAATAATAATAAACAATACCCGTTGCTTTTCCGGCACATAAATTTTTTTATGCACTTAAGATGCAAGATATGAAAGCTAAAGAAATGATCGTTTCACCCATAGGAAAGCTGATAATGGTTTCTTAAGGCCGAAACCTTGACATAAGATGAATGTTAAAAGCGAAATTCTTTGCTAAATATAGAAATATATTCTCAAATCCGTTAAAGCTTTGTGTGATTTATTTATAACACAATTACTTCTAAAATGCATAGATAGAAGGGTTACTATGTGAAGTTACTTTGTTGTCTGAGTGGAAGGAACTCACTACTAATATAAAATAGGTAACAACCTTAAAAAATTCAGTAGTAAGTGACGTAGAGTGTGTCAATTAGTGATATCACCAAATAAATTATCATTAAATATCGTGTAAATTGAATTAAATACAATTAGTTGATACACATAACAAAACAGTTATCAGATAAACGCTATAATATTCTCAATTATTATGTTAACACCTTGTTTGTTCATTTTGGCACTTTTCTTCAGATCATGTGAATCAATAATAAGCAATGAAATTTTTAAATTAATTCGGGTTTGCTTCTATTTCTTTTATACAGGATTTTAATGATATGCGAATATTTAAGGGTGTGATTCTACAAGGAAAATTAATGATAGTATGCTTTATAAACTATGGTTCAAAAATGTTCCTTTGCGAA